ACAGTACAGTGTAGAACGTGTGTGTCTGACTCGTATGTCACATTCACAATATTTTTGCACTGTGGACACTCAATGTCTTGGCGAATTACTTTTTCTCGCTCAAAGATTAGATTTCAATTTGTTATATCTCCTAAACCAATGCCGTCCCCCACTTGATTTTTGCGGGGAATTACTCAGAAAATTCTCCCCTACAACATATCTAAGTGCCGAGGACATCGGTGAGGTGTGACCTTTTATGCATATTTACCAATTTGATTACTCCACCACTGCACTGGATAGGTTGGAAACAGTCACCGGGGCATCGATAGATGACAACGAACAATCTTGGTTTGAACGGCTCGGCAGAATACGGCTCCTTTATTTCTTTGAGAACTTCTATATTACAATAGGCGATATCGCAGTTCCTCGCGTAACAGCTTCGGCGCGACTGATTCGTATCGGCAGCGAGCTCGTTGTCCGACGGAATTTTTACTTACTTGCTCCACATATAAGTGTGAGAACCAAAACAGAAGATCGACTTAGAAATGTCCAAATAAGGCAATGTTTTCAAGACGTCTATCTCCGTACGCGCTCACAATAACCCGACGCTACGATAAATCATCCAACTGATTTTCTCTAGGTAAAGCCGAAACCATTTGAACCGTATTTAATGCGTTAGCAACATAAAGGAGGACAAGTGAAGTACTAGTTAAACTAATATAAATGATTCGATCTATAACACGCTTAATGATTTGTTTCTTATTGGTTTCGCTCTATTTTGTCAGCACCAATAGGATTAATAACAAAGCTTGTCTAGACTACAGGAAATCTCCGGCATCAATGTATCCAAGACAAACAGCGCTCGCTGAAGTGAGATAGTAATATTTCCCGAAGAGACTTGGCGATCGATAAAGAAATGACGATCGAAATGTTACTAACTTATTTCAGCGAGCGCGCGACTCAATCCACGCAGTGGCGCTCCCGCGCGCACCGAGAAACCGTACGAACATCCGTTTCGGATCAATTAGGATGTTGAAAAAAATTTTTTTATATAAAGTTTGTTGTTGTAAACGTGTATTAATGACAGCAAAACACAAAAATAGAAAAAAATTTTTTAATGTAAACCCGTTCATAATTTTATCGTCATAAAAATTCAAATTTTGTCACGTGATTGTAAAACGTCACGCTATTGGCGTACGGGCTCATGACGTCACGATGTTATACGGCGCAAAGACTATATGCTATGTTCATAGAGTTACATTTCTCTGAAACGACTTCAAGTTATTAATAAATTCGATTAATTAGCCGAACTTCGACGCAGTGATGTGTGAAAAAGGCTTTGTGAAAGCAAATAGTGATAATTTGCCACGGATCGATATATTTATGGTGTTAGAGTTCTTCAGAAACGATGATCGTTTCAATGCTCCAGAAATACGTTGTGCCAAAGCTTCATTGTAAGTAAAATAATTATGTTTCAATGTATAACCTCTCATTAACAAATAAAATTGCTTTGAGATTAAATTGGGTATGAATTTTTATCACAAATTATATTTGAAGGAACTGTCGTGAGAGCTACGGAGATACAGTTATAGGTTATGTTCAAATCAAACGTGAAGGAGACTTATGAAATGTCGAGTATGTCCTGAACATAAGGTTCGGAGTAAAGCATATTCAACAACATTAATTATAAATGAAACAACAGAGAAAATCATAGACGCTCAGTGTCATGATTGTGCAGCGGCAACAGGTATCTATGAATATATGATGTAAAAGACGATGTGTTTTTACTTGTTCTCATTGCCATGCGTTCTTTAAAATTTGTCTTACATTACAGGTGGATGTAAACATGCTCTGGTAGTTCTCATGTGGGTACATCGAAGGAGCGAAGATCCTGCACCTACAGAAATAGCATGCTATTGGAAAAAATCTCGTTTGTCAGGTGTAGGCACGACACTCAAATATGTCGAAGTCAAGGATTTGGGCATTCAGAAAGTATCGAGATTAAAACAAACATCCATTCCCAATAATAGCACTTTTTTACACGACGTTCTGCAACTGGCAGAAAGTAAACAAATTGATTCTCAAATTTCACGACTACACATTGACTTGAAATGTCTGAAAACAAATAATTTATCGTTGCATAGACTCCTTTTAAAATTTTACTTAAATGGAGGTCTGATGTCAAGAGATTTTCTTACTTTTGCTAGTTCCGAGATGACTCAAGTCTTATGTGATGAAGCTGAACAATTGACACAAAATCAGAGTGATTGCCCACTGTGGTACGAACTCCGATATAGAAGGATTATAGCTTTTAAGCTGTATGAAGCAGCACATTGTACAACAAACAATGGATCGTTTGTTAAACAGGTAATAGGGGCGAGTAAGGTACATGAAACAACTGCAATGTTACGAGGAAAGAACTTGGAAAAAGTGCTGGTAGAAGTAGAACGCAAACTAAATATACGAATTAAGGGTGCTGGACTGTATTTATTACCAAATTATCCAGTTCTTGGTGCATCGCCTGATGGTATAACCAACGAATACATCGTGGAAATAAAATGTCCGTTGAATGAAAAAACGTTGGAAAAATTCTTGTCGAAAGATAAAATTATCAATCCTAAATATATACCACAAATGCACTTACAAATGTTAGCTACAGGAAAAGAAAAAGGATTGTTTTGTGTGGCTGATCTAGCTTTTGAAAAATCGAAAAGTGCACATGCAGTGGCTTGCATATGATTTAGAAGTAGTGCAGGATTTAATTAAAAAGGCAATGCTGTTTTGGGAAAGAAATATATTTCCATTGCTATTATCTTCTGTACAGAAATAAGATGTCGTTGTATAAAACTATGTAAAACAAAAAATATATTATATTCAGAATTATTATATTATATTATTCATTATCGCTTGTTAATTCCTATCATACTATTTTTTCATTATTGGCGAGTGCAAATTTACCAACGCCGAGGCAATCACTATAATGTCATTAGTGTAAGATATCATACTATGGTTTATAACAGCATGTGGTTTTAGAAAATGAAATTCACGCAATCTCCCAATGACACGTTCTACGTGGATCTGTAAGGCCCGGTCTACAATGAGTTGTTAGTCGTTAGTCAGAAGTCGGAACTATATGTCGGTCCTTTTTCTTCCACCCAGAAAGGAAAAGCATCAACATATAGTTGCGACTTCTGACTAACGACTAACGACTCATTGTAGACCGGGCCTAAGTGTTCGCGATCGCGCGATCGGAACGAGCCGGGGCGCGGGGACCGAGACGAGCGGGACGCGCGCCGAGCAGCTGATCAGGACGCGAATCGCGACGGCACGCGGCGCGCGCGTGATCTACAAACCGGGGATCCCCGGAGTTCGGCGAAATCGATCGAGATTTCGCCGAAAGCGTTCTCCCACTTCGGGGAAAAGGCGCGTTCGAGCCCGTCTCCGTTAGAAAGTCAGAGTCACTGTTAGAGTTATTTTGTGAGTCGAGCAATCTAGTTCAGTCGAGTAAAACCCCGCGATTTCGCTCCGTTCGTGCCGAACCACAGTTCCTCGATCAAGATCGCACGTTTCTCGGTTTTCGTGTCCGTTCGTCAGCGGTTCACCGATAGGCTCGCTTCTCTCACATCATTTCTTTCCGTACTCATCTCTGTCCGAATCTAAACCGTACTAATGTATCATCCGTTTCACTTCTATGTTCGTTCCACTAATTTGTATTGTCTAATTAATAAAAGGGAGGGTTCTCGATGATGAGAGGCGTGAGTAAGCGTTCAGTTTAAACTGGAGCGCTGTCACTAACTCTGAGTGAACTTCAAATCTTAATAAATTCCTAAAGTCCTCTGATCCGAACCTCCGTCGGATAATCGGAACAAATACGCTCTCGCATCTCTCTGCCAAACAACATCCATCCGTTATAATATCCTTCGTCGATGACCTAACGGTGCGGTGTTGTGAGCCTCTGACTGAGAACCGTCCTCGGACGATACCTTCCTTGTTACAAGGTACCGTGCGCGACGTTTTCGGTTGATTATTACCGAGTACTTGAGTGACGGACCATTTATTTCGGAGAACGGCTCTCGATGCATAAAGACAAACTCTGTGCGGTCCGCCCAAAGACAGTTATATTCTTGCTCGATTCGGAAATCGCGGAAGAACATTAATGCGGTTTCGCGTCTCTGTCGGGACGGTTCCGGTCCAGTTTTGGCCTGAGGCACATCCTCAGGTGATCCGAAACAGTAAGCTAGCACCGCGTTTGGTTTCCAAAACCTCAGTTTTCGTAGGTTTATGTGTGGACAATACGCTTGGTGGTTTTATTAATTCGCAATGTTTTTCTGCTAATAAAGATTTGATATTTTTAAAACCTCGGTCTGCCATAACAGCACATTTTTCGGGAAGCTGATCTAATATACCACACTTCTCAAACAATAATGCATCTGATATTCTGCCTCCATATCCAGTAGAAATGAAATTGATAAAACCATCCGGTCCACAAGATATCAAGTACTTGATCGTATTACACTTTTTGTATTCAGACCAAGTTAAGGCTTGATTTATGGGATCATTCGGCTTTTCAATTTGTATTTCCAGAGCATCTACTATAGACTGGACATGACTGTATGAGCTTCGAAAAGCAATAGGCAAGTTTTTTTAACTAAGTCAGGATTTGGGAAGAAAATCAAAGTTTTTAGTAAGTGACTGAGTATTGGAACTGTTTTGTTGAAAACTATACTTGCATTACTAGGACTCATACAGAATTGTTCAGCCAGTCGTTCTAACGAATCTTGCAATCTAATCTTCATTAAGCATAACTGTATATTTTGGATACTTATATTACCTTTCGTGCTCAACAGATGTAACAGTGAATTCCATTCGTTTGGAATCCCTAGGTACGCTTTCATGTTAGTACTTATGAGATAGTTTGTTACATTTAATATGTTTCGATTTTGTTTGGATTTTTCTTGACTACTAAGAGACTCGTCGAGACTCGTTTGGTCGCTAAACACATAATAATCATGAGAACTACTTCTATCTATTGTAGTTGTACTTGTACTCGTCGATATGAAATCACTTGGATAACCAGGTTTTGTCGAAGAAGTTGCAATATTCGCATAGATGGGTAATTTAATCGGTGAAGAACATTTATCGATAGTTAATACTGGAATGTTGCACGTTGTATGAATACTGCGATAATGTGGTCGGATCTTGACCTGTATGCCAACACTGCGCTGCATCATGGAAGTCTGTATTCCGACGTCCCTTCTTGTATTTTCAATCTCACACACAGTGAAAGTTTGTTCAGCTTGAGGTTTAAGAACAAGTTCATTTACAAACTTATTTAGAGCAGTTGTACTCTGTTCCGATGCATTTGCAGCATTTGTCAAAGAAGATTCGAATGCTTCTGTAAGAATCTCGCTTACTTCCGCTCTTTTTCGTCGTTTTTCTGATGTTATACGTGGAGTTGAACATGTTCTACGTTTACGGTCAGGCTGACACGCAAAATGTGGAATAACATTTTTTTTTATTTTTATTGGACCTCCCATCATTATGTAGTACTGATATTTTTCTACATCTTCTCGCAACTGTAAGTATAAAATATTCTTGATAGTTACGAAATCAGATAGATTAAGAGTTTTATTAATAGGTGAAATGCTGAATTAAAAAATAATTTTACAATTTAACATATACTTGGGCTGTAAAAACTTTTACTTACATTAAAATGGTCTTCGCAGCAAAAGAAATTTGATTTGCTGTTTGTGAGGTTATCTCTCCGAGCGGCATTAAACCATTTCAGACGAAGTTTCACGTCTTGTGGCACTGTCACGAACACTTTATTTGGTATATGTGAACATGCCTAATGCGGGTCACAAGGCAAGATGTAGGTAGCCCAACTTGTAGATCTTCAAATCTTTCTGAAAATTCGTGAATCTATATACCGTTTCTTTCCACATTAGTACTACGCGCCGAATTGTTTTTCCGATCATAACGCAGTTTGTCTTTACACGTGAAATAATTGTCGTCAGCAGATTCACGTATTCGATTTGATAATCATTATTTTTCAAATGCAATTCGCACTTTTCTGATGCTACATTAGCAATCAGTATTCCCCCCCTCCCCCCATTTTCCCCGTCCTGTAAATTAACTTTATTTGATGTACTTTTTGTTATATTACCACACAGAGGGACGAAACACGTCCTATACTCGTATGTTTTAATTGTCTTCATTTCTATTAAAACCTCGAGATGTTAATAGATTCATACACGGCATATAACATTGTGACGTCACATATCACTCGTGTAACTTCGAGCGTGATCGGCGCGTCGTCGGCTATGAGTTTAAAACAATATTTTGTAAAACCTATATCTCCGTTAATATTACAAAAAAACCAAAAAAAGGACTTTTTCTATAAATCATGCATATAAACTTTTTAAATATTTTTAAAAATATTACGTTCAAAAACCTAATTCAGCAGTGCAGAAAATAAATGGACCAAAGAGTTTAAGACCTTTATGGCTCTGGCAAACCAAAGTGATAACGCGTCGCGCGTCGCGTTGTCGGGCTGGTCTGCAAGAGCCATAAGAGTGGCCTTTGGCCATCCCCTAAATCGGCCGCCCGTGTGCGGGGCACGCGTTCGCCCTCCGCCAGGAACGGCCCTGTCCACACCTCAGACATAGTTTGGGTAAGGTTATATCTAAACGAAGTGGAGCCTCCCACATGGGCGGAATATGCTGTCTCAATGCATGTACTTTTTAAGACATATTTACCATTCTATTAAATATACTCTTTCTTAAACATACATGATTCGTAAAATTATGTTCTGTTTAAGAAACTTTTTTGCAAATAAATTTTTAACGAACTATGAGCGACGGCTAAAACCTCTTCGAAGTCACTCTGGAGGGCGACCTTGACAACATATGTCAAGGTCAAGGAAATCGGGGCGGGCTCCTCTTATCGATATATTTACCAGGATATGATATAATTACACTGCAGTAAAGTATGAATGACAGAAAATTCATAAATTAATAGAAACTTTAATTTATATGTATATAGATAAAGAATCTCTTAGAATTAATGTTCGCCGAATGGAAGATGCTAAAATCAAAAGAGGAAAGAGAAATTATGGAGGAATATGCCAAGAGGGGCAAGCAGTACACAATTTTTTATGCTGGTAAGAGATTGATTTATATATTTATTACATTTATTATTATAATAAATTAAAAATGTTTTGTACATTACTGAAGTATTAAATTTTTAGTAAAATTACTAAAGTCTTTTCTATCCTTGCTTCTCTGGTTCAGTGTCAGTATTTACCAAAAAACTTACCTTTTTAAAAAAGGTAAAAAATGCGCCAAGTATAAGCTCCAATGTTACTCTATCTCTTCTGCAAAAGTATCTTCTCTACAAAAATATTTTTCCTGCAAAAGTATCTTCTTTACAAAAATATTTTTATAAACATATATTTCCAAAAATACCTTTTCAAAAATATTGTCTCTACAAAAATCTTCTCTACAAAAGTAATGATATCATCAACAAATTATGCCAAATATAACAATGGATATTAATATATGTATAACGCGTATCTTTCTTCTACCGTAACCATTCTGTAAATACCTACATCTCATTCGGCCAATAACGTATCGACAGCACCGATGAAAACAATAGCAACTGTTTAGAAATTTAGAAACTCTGTATCTATTCAGACGAATTAAGGCCTGTGTCCATGATGCTAGTACTTGGTCCAAGTT